CACAACTCATAAAATCCTTGCATTGTTATCACCACATTAATTTCTACATCACTAATCATTTACAATTGGGTTTCAATTCACCATAGGTTGAAATAGCTCTACAACATGCAATCCTCCGCCGATTGCCAATAATAGTTATCTCTATCAAGATATTCCATTTAGACAATATTAGAGCATAACTAACAACACCATGTAATACCATTTTTCAACGAATTTAATAAATGTATAAGGAGGAATAATTTCTGAATTTTTACTCAATCTAAATCAATTGCTCAATACATGAATTCTCAATTCTCATCATTTTTTCGATTAGCAATACTCAATACCAATTTCTCAAAATGATTATTAATTTGTAATTTCTCCGAGTTATACAATTTCAAGAAATTTAGGGTTTTCTTTAAATAGTTGGGCCTTTTTAATTTTAAAGATCGACATACTCTAAAGCTTTTAAAACTCACATTTGATAGAGAAAACTTTAATTATTTCAATTGTATTGAAAAGATAGAGAAAACTTTAAGAAATACACAACACATACCAAACCCTAACTTCTCACAATACATGCTTTGAAATCTCTACAAAATTCTTAAAATTTATGCAATAAAATACCACACATTCATCTATAAAATCATATTAAAAAATATTAAAGAAATTTCTACCTCAAATTAAACACGAGAATGAAGAAACCCGAAAATTCAAAATGCTCCAAACGACGATCGGGCTTGGTAAGATCGAAGCCCTTGACGTGCTCTACAATTTAATAAACGAGTTTTGAACAAACTCTTACTCTAGATATGAGAGATTGGGTGATTTGTGTGATTAATGTAAGAAATATATAGATAGAGAGAGTTCTCAAGGTGAGAGAGGAGTAGAGAGAGAATAGTGTGTGTAAAAATATCTGAGTCCCTATATATAGTACAAGCATAAAAATAGTTTTGGTCCCCAAGTCTGACAAAAAATGTAGTTTTGTCACTCACTAAAGTTGAATAGACTGCTCGAACGGTCAAAGGTTCGCTTGAGTGGTGAATGGGTGCTTGCAAGATCTCATTTTTTGAAAAACAGAGCTGTCCAGGTCTTCGGACTGCTCGAGTGGTCAAAAGTACGCACTTGAGCAAACTATGCTGACAGCTTTGATGCTCGAATTTCAAATAGACATAACTCCCTCATCTGAACTTTGTTTTGGATCGTTCTTGTGTCTAAATTGAAGCCCCGGGAGTAAGCTTTTCAATGGTTCTAGCTTCACATGAAGATTCAAAATGTGGAGAGAGAAAATAGCAGAAGAGTGAAGACTACTAAAAAACAAATATCCGAATTTGGGGTTTTTGGTCCAATCTTGTCCAACCATCATGTTAATACCTCAATCAAGGCTCTAAATATCTAGAAGGAGGTCCCAATCATAATAATAAAAGACTCAAATGCAAACCTATCATTTCCAAGAGTCCAAAAACAATACAAGGATAAGGTAGCGAGTACCAATTAATGCATACAAATCGGGTTTAAGATCTGAAACGCTATAGAAAGAGAGGTTTCTAGTCATAAAAAAGGTCCAAAAGGGCTTGGCTGGGAGGCTGCCATGTGCAGTTTCTTAGCCTCGGCCACACGTGCGGGCCCTTTGGTCGCACTTGTGGAGCCTCCTCCATGTGTGGTTTCACGCAGTCCCAAACCTAGAAATCTCCCCTCCACCACATGTGTGGAACCTCTGCCCAAAATTCCCTCCCCTGTTTCACTAATCTGCACATGTGGGACACCCCAACTGTATGTGCGGTCACACCTGATGAAGTCCAACTCCTTATGAGTTGTTTTTACACTTATATTTTTGGTCCTTATGCCCGAAACTTGAATATTAAATGTGTTAGGCGTCAGATAGGAATTAACATTGACTCGATCATAATTAGCAAAACACAACCCGTTGTACCAAGGGTTCGAAATCGTATCTGTCACGACCCCGTCCTGCTCCAAACAGAATAGTATCGTGATCGGCTAGTAGCCTTTGACTACCAAAGGCCTTACAATAAAAAAGAAATAATGGACTATAGTATATTTGGGGTATTCATAAGCCAAAGTTGTACATACATAGTTAATTAAGTCCATTCAGAGCTGTGTATAGGTAAAATGATATGAAACACACGTGGCTTATATTAACATAGCAAATAATTTACAACTTTAAACATGGATTACAAAAGATACAAAAGGTAAAAACATCACAATTGATAATACAAGTCTTCTCATCTCTTGCAAACTTCACCAACTTAAATTAGAAAAATATTTACAAGACTTCTATTTAACAAAAGCAAAAACACAAAAAGCAACTCTTCCTGTCCTATTCTCTCATTGTCACCTACATATATACAAGGGAGAGGGGTGAGCCAAAACCTAGTGAATAATATTACAGTAAAAGGTTAATGTAGCCGACTCCATTTGATGGGACTTAAGGCTTGGTTTGGTTTGGTTAGGCTAATGAATGAATATTGACAGATTTTACAAAACATAATTCAAATCATCAAATTTAATAACTTTCAAAACATTTCATCATAGTATCTCTTTTCAAATATAACATTTTCTTAACAAATAAATGCAAACATCCGTCAGAACAGAACAAAACAGATGAATAACTGCCCCAGATACCGATTAAACAAACCCACCCGCAGGTGGCAGAGGAGATCTCATTGACTGTCATTGGCATGCTTACGGTTCCCCAATGACTGGGAATAATTTGAGGATGGTATTAACATACATTGATATAAAAAAAAAGTAATATGATATTCATTCTTTCGGAAACAAAACAAACATTTCCAACATAATACTTTTCATTTTCAAAATAAACTTCAGAACATAGCTTTACAATAATATTACTCACAATGGCTTCCGTTCGAGGTATATAGCACAAGGTCTTGACCTACACAAGTAAGAATACAAGTACAAACGAAATGAAATGCGAAACAGTCAAAATACCGTCTTATTTGGTTCTAATTCAAGTGTAATAACTTAATTTCAAACTTTCTTTCTTCACCTATTTTCTCTTTAGATAGGTTTCTAAACCTTAATTAATTTTACTTTAGGTCTCAAACAAGTGCGGTGAGGTCCGGTGAGTAAAAAACATCGAAAAGAAGTCAAATTGGGCAAGTGCCCTCTGTTTGGTCACAAGTGTGGTGGATTTAGTAGCATGTGCGGTGGAGGTGCAGTGGCCATTCCCTTGTTGGCCGCACGTGTGGTGAGGACGGCCGCTCGTGTGCCCAAAATTGGCCGCTAGTGCGGCGGTTACGCAATGTCCAAATTGAGCTTGGCTGCATGTGCAGCCGTCGTGCAGAAAATCTGAGCTGGTGTTCTACAATTTACAAACTCATTTTTCTTCCAATTTCCTTCATTCCAAACCCCAAAAATTGATTTTATAAACTCTATAACATGCATATATGATACAAAACTCATAGAAAAACTTTTGTTTGCAAAGGGTTCAAAGATTTACTCAATCAAAACATGATTTTCATAACAATTTCTTAAAACCTATCTTTACTTCAAACTTCTTTCAATTCTTCATCTTTAATTCTCTCAAAACCTATCTTAAAATGATTTTGTACTCAGATTATTTAAACAATACAAGAATAAGGGTGAAATTCCTTACCTATTGATGATTTTTCCTTGATTTTTAGGCTAGAAATGGTAGTTCTTCAACTCTTTCTTCTCTTCTTCTTCTTCTTCTTCTTGCTCTATTCTATATCATCTCTCTCTTCCTTGAACTCAGAATTTCCAGCACCTCTCTCTCTCTCTCGTTTTTGTTATTATTAAATTGAACAAGTTAACAATTGAAGCATCAAGAATTATCCAGCACTTTCTTCCATCTTCTATTTGTTTATTTAAATATTACTCCACTAAGTTTAGTTAATCATGATTAGCTCTAATTAATTAGACGTAGTCCTAAATCTTCATTAGTTAATTAATCTCAATTAAATTAAATTAATCTCGCTTAATTTTTTGACGAAGTGTCTAAAAGTTTCTATTCATTAGACTAAAGCTATTAAGCTCCTCAATTAAGGTTTCTAAGATGTCTAAACATTACAATTTCAAGTTCGAAGTTATCCCCTAACTCTATAATGTTCACTAAAATTTTTATACTAAGGCTTTTCTTAAAATTGATCCAATTTTCCTAAGTTTTCCTTCCAAGCTCAATTATTCTTAAATTCTTTCATTAACATTCTCCTACAAGGCTCCTTATTCACATCTAACACTTCTAAATTCTACAATAATAAACATATCACATACATAATGCAATGCAAAATATGAAATCCTAGGATGGATGAACATATAATGCAATGTCTAGTAATGCATGATGTGGGTGTTACAGTATCGGGACATCCATATAAGTGGGTTCAAGTCAGTTTTAAGACCTGGGCTGCTACTGTAAAATTTAATGTATAAAGAGAAATAGAGAGAGAATAAATTGTATGTATTATTGATTGATTTATTGATATATATTACAATGATTCATGATTTCTATATATAGAAGAGGGTGAGTGTGTAGTAGGTAAGGAGATGTTGAAGTGGAGGTGGTAGTGGTGTAGTGGGTTTAGTGGAGTAGGTGAGGTGGTAGTGGTGTAGTGGGTTAGTGGGTTAGGTTTAGTGGAGTAGGTTTAAGTGGGTGAAGTAGGTGGAGAGTAGGTGGATTTTAACAGCTACATAGTTACTCCTTTGTACATGTGGAAGAAGAAGTCATCTGTCCATCCCTAGAGGCTATAGTTCTCCCGACCTGCATTGCTCCTGTGTCCATAGTCTTCTTTCACTCCACTGCTGAAAGCTTTTAGATATATATGTAAACACTTTAAGTATGATCATATAATTGATAGAAAAATGCTTGAGAGGTACGGTTGTGGCTCACCAATGTATTTGAAGTCACCTAAGATGATAGAATTTTTGTAAATTGAAGGCTAGCATGTTTATTAAGTTACTATTGAAGCTTTGGTTTGCTTGTTATATTGTTTTCCTAATTTTCAATTGTTCTTGCATTCTAGGCCTAGTTACCGGAAGCTTTCTTCCTTGAGGAACCGTCTACCAAACATACCAATATTGGCTTTGACTGCTACTGCTGTCCCTAAGTGAGTTGTCTAATGCATTTCATGTGGAAAAAATGTGAATTTTTTTTTTTTATATGCTTGCAAAATTGGCTCTAGATTCTTCCATGATCTACCACATCCTTTTCTTAAGTGCTTCCCCCTTTCTTCCCCTGACAATTTTCCCCCTTTATAATTTAAAAAGTGTGTGGTACTCACTTTTTGTTTATTCAATGGACATCTGACACATCCATGTCCTTCGAGAAAGTAGTATTCTACAAGTTGATTTTTATTTTTTGTTTTTTGATTTCTTCTTCTGATGAATCTGTAAAATTTCCTTTACTCACTCACAAACTTACATGTAAAGTTGGTGTCTTGTTTATCATGAAGAATAAAAAAGTTACTTGAGTTTCTCAATTCCTGAATGCTTCTTTTCTTTATGAAAAAGTTTTGAGTGGTACTTTTTGCCTGATTTTCCTGTCATTTTGCAGAGTACAGACGGATGTGATAGAATCCTTGTGCTTGCATGACCCCTTAGTCCTGAAATCATCATTTAATCGTCCAAATATATATTATGAAGGTTAGGTCTTGCTAGCTTGATTTGATGCATTTATTTTGTTTTTTGAATCTAGATATTTAACAGAGTTCATAAACTTGGAGTTCACCTGAATTAGTCCTTTATACATTCTAAATGATGGGTTTTTGGATGTGCTTGATATTTTCCCCTTAAACATCTGGGAATATTCCCGTTTTATAAAATGAAACAAGTTTTTTTGGTTTTGGTTTGTGTGTGTGTGTATGGTGTGTAATCCGTTGTCAATTGTTGTCGTCTGGTTGACTTCGTTATCATCCATTGACTGAACTGGTGACCACTAGAGTTCGGAGTTCTTTAACACCTCCCTCACTTCATCTTCCTCGTCGTGATCTTCCGCGCCATCGTCAGTTGCAACTTCATCAAAGACTGCTCTCGTTGTCATTATCGTCGTCATCATTGTTGTCGTCTTCTTCATTGTTGTGACTTCGTTATCGTCTATTGAGTCAACAAGGGACCATTGGAGTTCTGCAACACCTCCCTCACGTTGTCTTCCTTGTTGTGATCTTTCCCATCATCATCGGTTGCAACTTCAGCAAGGATGCTCTTGTTGTCATTGGCATCATTGTTGCCAACTGGTGTTGGTGCTGCCATAGTCGATCATCATTGCATCAACTAGATGTGTCACAGATGTCGTTTAGAATGACTTAACAAGGAGACGTCACTTGATGAAACGATTTAGAGAGAAGAGGGCTTGGACTACCTTATCCGATCTTAAATCCTTAACCCTTGACTCGATCCTATTTCCTTGAACTGGGAACACCAACTGAAAATTACCTAAAAACCAGTCCAATTATCCATAACCCCACCAAAAATTGACTCTTTAGCCCTTCATCCAAACCTTTAGCCCATCCAATAACCAAGCCCACATTATTCATATCTAGCCCTTAACTTTTAAAATGAGGCCAGCCTGAAACCAATAATCAGCTCAACAACTAACAAAAATAAATCTAGCCCCAAAAATCCGTTCTAGTGCTAAGTTAGCCCAACTTCCTAAATGACCCACTATGCCCGACTTAGTAGCCCACTTTTAAGCCCAAGCCCAGAACCCAACCCTTCAATCTTTCAAAACAACCCATCAGCGAAAAGAAAATAAAAAAGAATAAGAAAACCTCTTTCCCATTAACCGTGGTGACCGATTCACAGTTATATTCAAAGTTAGAATATTTTCTGAAGCACAATTAGAAACAATGGAACAAATGATTCATATCAAAGTTACTTTGGACAAGTTGTTGGCCAATGTTTTAGGAGATACTTATGAAATTTCTTGAAGTGCTTGTGAGGATCATGTGGAAATTGTGAAAGTAAAATTATTTTGGAAGAAAATTTGAAAGTTCAAGAAGCTGCTTCTTGTAGGCAACAATCCTACCGGAAAAAAGACCTTTAACATGAAGATGCACTCAACTTGTCAGATCCTATTGATGAACTACCAAAATATTACTTAATCAAGCTTGAAGGGATTGATTTTGATTGGCGTTGAAGATTTTCTTTGTGTGTTCAATCCATATTTGGCTGACCTTGTCAACAGCCTGATTATAGAGATTTGTTGCAATGAGAAAAAAGATCTATCAACTAGCATATTCAAAATACTTGATTTGTTGGCATGGACCAGTTCAGTATTTAAACGGGAACTCGAGGATGAGTTCTTTTTCTTAGTCGGGGAGAATGATGCAGGACATGAATGTAGTAATCTTGGCAAGTGAATTTTATTTATGATTTTATAATTTTATGTCTTTATTATTTATATTTTTATTTATAGTATTTTTGATTATATTTTGATTAGGATGATCTTAATAATATTTGGTTTCCAATTTTTAGGGATTCTAGTTTCCTTTTTCTATTAGGTTTAGTTTTTTTATTTTATTTTATTAGGGCTAATGGTTGCCTATAAATATTAGGTTTTGTGTTCTATTATTTGGTTTTGAATTAACTCTATTGAGAATAAGACTGGTCATTGTGTTAAGGTTGTGGCCCTCTTTTTCCCCTATCAGTTCACCATCACCCCATTATAATTTTTTTTGGGGCACAAGTTGTGTGTTATTGATTATATGAAAGCCTCCTTGAGGATACAGTGACCATATTATGTATCTGACTAGATTTCTGTATAATTCAGTGCGATATAAGGATCTTTTGGATGACCCATATGCCGATTTAGCTAATCTACTTAAATCTTGTGGAGATGTCTGTGCAATTGTTTACTGCCTTGAACGTACAACTTGTGATGATGTGGCTGGACATCTATCGAAGAATGGCATTTCCTGTGCTGGTAAACATTTTTAAGTGCTTTTCATGGTCCCCATTTTTGATGCCTATCTAATACAATTCAAGTATTACAAAACATATTTCAAGTATTTTTCCTTCTTTTTGGTACACTTCAGCATATCATGCAGGGTTGAACAATAAACTGCGGAGTTCTGTTTTGGATGATTGGATTTCTTCTAAGAAACAAGTAGTTGTTGCCACAGTTGCTTTCGGGTATGATTGTATTTCAAATTTGACATATATAGCCTAAGAAGCATGGACATTGACACGGATGCTGACATGGATGCGGACACGACGATTTCAAAAAAATGGGAACACGGCAATAAAATATGTTTTCATATATTCTTATTTGCTATCTAGATTAATATTACATCCACAAGCAATATATTAACAAAAACTAACTTTAATTCGATTTTTTTAAAAAACACTTTTAAATTAACACTTATAGTTTATATGTATATATATATATTTTTATGGATGATCTATTAAGTAATTAAATCTAAGAAAAAAATAATAAACATTCAACATTCATCAAAAGTACTAAATAAAATGGGGGAAAGACAACTTGGCATGTCCCTAGTGTGTCCTCGAAATGTCCCTTGAAAATAAATTAATTAAATAAGGGGATACGCCATGTGGTGTGTGTAACGTCCCCAAATAATTAACATTTGATAATCATAAATTCCCATCATTCATATACTAGTTAAATCTCTATACTTGTATTCATAATATGCTAGAGATTTACAAAATAGTCCACATGCGATTACAAATTCAATATTCCCTAAGGCATGAATCTCTAGCATGTGAGACGGTTAATATAGAAAAATTTAAAATACAATTTAGGCCCTATGGCTACAAGTTCCAAGGCTTAGGCCTGGTTACAAGCAAATGGTTATGAAACCCATAAACATAAAGCCCTTAGCTTGTCAAAACGAAACAACAAAATGAATGAGCCGCGTGTTTCCAAGACGATCCTTTTACGCCTCTACTTCTATGGGATCACGTCTTTTCCTGCAACAAATCTACTAGGGGTGAGTATTAAGCCCAGTAGAGGATTATTAACAAAGTATATACATTTTATACAATCTCATGAGATGGATGCACATGCCATGCCATCCTCAAAATACACATTTTTCTCGTTTGAAAATCTCATGCACAATGTTCATTTGGAAACATCATCAATTCAATGATTTCAATAAATAAATGATAAATACAATTCAGGTAATCCTTAGGTTGGTGTTTGCAACTAGGCATATTAAGCACTACCAAAACCTACTTTACCGGCTCTTAACTGGAAGGCATAGACACCTGCTCTCCTCGTGTTTTTGGTCTTTTACTATGGATCTCAAGCTAACTTAATTCATAACCAACTATACCCCTTATCCGGATTTACCAACGTATTTGCCCCAAAACAAATCAAATGATCTTTGTTTCACAACTTCTTTATTTTCAAAGAACAAATCTGAAATACCAATTCTAAAGCAATGTGATCAAAATGAAGTGGAATGATAATGCAATATATCAAATACATTATGAATTTCCCAATCTTCTCAACAATTTCTCATTTCAACCGCACAATTTTTCATTGTAATTAAGTTCCACATCTTTACTCGATATGTCTACACAATATATATATTCCAAGAGATAAATAACAACAATTCATCACCTGCATCCTCTTTTCTTATTTAATCAAAAGTTTCTCAACATGCTAATGATCATTTCTAAAATTCTCATCTTCTCAAGACAATTATAACAATGTACTATTCACAATTTCTAAATATCAATTACTCTTTTTCCATGAAATTTCAACAATAGGAATAATACACTAATTTCTTCATCAATTCTCAAAAATGATACTCAACAATACATGATTTTCTAATATCTCAACATCTCTCCAAATTTCCAAGGTGGTTTTCATGAAAATTTAGGGTTTCTCATTTTTAAAAAGATTTTTCCTCAAATGAACTATCAACCACCAACATAGTTCATAAATTTAAAATTCTAATGAAATTGTTGAGAATACCCTTTTTGAGCTATACAAAATCTCATAAAATCCACACCTTAACTCAAAACTCGTGAAATCAATGCCACAACTACCATACACTTGCAAATTTATATTTATAGATAACTCAAAGAAATCACTAACTCAAACTAGGAAGAGGAGATGAGAGAAGAAACCCAAAAATTGGCAGTCGGAATTGGATCTCCATCGCACAAAATGAAGCCTTCGAAGTGCTCTCCAAAATTGCCTTAAGAACACCTATCTAAAGATCTATGGATTGGTTTATATCAAGAGATTTATGAGGGTTGGTGAGAGTGAATGTAGAGAGAGAAGAGAGAATAGATATAGACACAGATATAATTGAAAATGGGGGAAAGGGTTTTGGAAATCAGATTTTGAGTAAAAGGGTCCAAAAATTGAGGCAAAAAAGCAGAACCCCGCACGTGCGGTGGCCTAAAACCACACGTTTGTTTCATGTAGGAGAAAACTCAACGCAGCTCCAGATTTCTGCACGTGTGGCCCTCACACCCGCACGTGCGGGCCCCCTTATGCACGTGCGGCAACGCCCTTTGTCCAGAAAACCAAACCAAGGCTGTAGAAGTCCACACATGCAGACCCTCCTAGTCGCACGTGTGGGAATGGAACCTAGGCTGAAAAATCTTTCTAAGGCACTTCTCACTTCCCTGGTTCTGCTCTCATGCCTGAAATTCAAAATTTATCTCTGAAAGATTTTTAAGACTGAAGCAAGGAAGTTTACAAAGTGTTGAGATGCAACACGGACTATGAGGTCTCGAGATTAAATAATTTTTTTTTGAAAACAAGGTGTTTGTTTTAAATAGGAAAATATTAAAGTTAAGTACCCCAGACAACACGTGTCCCATACGTGTCCCCGAAGTATCCTCGTGTCACCGAAGTGTCTGTGTGTCCGACACGGATACGGCACTTGTTTTGAAGTGTCGGTGCTTCATAGTATATAGCCCTTCTTTTGCATTTGTTTGCATTATGTGCCTCATGAGTAAAACTGCTTTCTGTTTTTGTTGTTTGTGCATTATATGTTTTTTGTGGATCTTAGTATGACGCACCAGTTTAATTTATATCTAGTGGTGGCGAGTTCCACTTTTATGTCAGATTCCAGTTGAGAATGAGAAGGTATGATTGTATGGAAAAGAGCATTTTGGATCTTTAATTAGGTTATTGGAATGATTACCATGTTTTGGAGCATCCATCCCAACATCTGAATCAATAGGAATTGTGTTCTGGTAACTCTTATTAGTTATTATACTATTAAATTTATATAAGGTATTTAACCTCTGGTAATCTAATTAGTTATTACAGTCTACGTATCTAAACTAGTCCAAAGCAAGTTGAGCCACACTTTAATTTCCTGAGCATAATGCTGCGAATTCTCAGCATCAACTATAGTCTAAGAAGCACGGACACTTCTAAGTAGGCGACGTTTCTGTGTCGGACATCAACACTCCTCAGACACGTGTCAGATACACTTTTTTACGTGTCCTTAATTAAAATTAAAAATATTAATTTTGGACATGTGTCTGACGCTCATTTTATGATGTGTCTGTCACTTCTTGGCCATGTTTGTCACTAAAAATATAAGCATAATACCAACACTTTGACATATGCTATCGTATGATTTTCAAAATTTGAGAATTTAACAAGCCTTAACATGATGCATAATTCTTTAAAGTTTTTTTTTTATAAATAGATGGCTTTGGAGGATGAGAAAAATGTTGCAATTTTATATGTTTCCTATAGTTCGTCTACATTTTAACTACCATGGTCCAATCTAATAGTCTAAAAATTAATGTAAGAGAATTAGATATAAGATTTAGTTAGTATAAAGTAATATTTAATTTTGTATTATGCACATAGGGTAAATTACAAATGCATGTTTGCTTAAAATACGAATTGCTCTGTGGTTTTGAAAATTACATTTCACCTCTTGAAGTTTCTAATTTCATGACAAATGGCTCATTTAGTAACAAATTATCAAGTCAATTAGCAATTTTTAATGATTTCAGAAATTTATTTCAATTAATAATTCAAGTAATTTTATTATTGTATAAGAGAGTAGCTACAAATTTTATTTTTTTAGTTAATTCTGTAAAATAAAATGTTCTAACAAGGGTATTCGTAATTTTTCAAACCACAGGAGACAATTCGTATTTTAAACAAACCTTAGGGGGTGTATTTGTAATTTAACCATGGACATAGATAACTATATAATATAATATATTCATAAATGATATTATATCAATCTATAATTATATGTGGCATGTCCGAGCCGTATTCATGTCCTACTTTTTTGGAATTTTTCATGTCGACGTGTCCGTGTTGTGTTGTATCTAAGTCCCATGTCCGTGTCTAGGCTTCATAGACTATAGTGATAGTTGTCTACCTATCATAACAGTCCAACTTTGAAGCTAAGCGCAAACTGTGTATATGCAGTGTTAAAAAAACGGAGAACGCCAAATTTAGCATATATAATCGCTGGATGTGATTGTGAAAATTATGGATGAAGTTCGAATAGAAGTCAGGCATTGTGTTGGGTTCCAGTTGTCCAAATTTAAGCACGCACCTCAGTGGGTGCAAAACAAACACGCATGCACACACAAAAAAGGACCTTAAAAGGCCATTGCACAGAGGTGGTCATGACAATTCACAGCTTCACCCAGGGTAGATGAGGTACAGGCTCAACTTTTGGCTCTGTTCCCATGAGGTATGCCCCCCAAGCGTATGAGCCATTGCACATTTCAATTTAGGTCTTATACAATGTGTCAAGTGAGGAATTACTGGTTTGTTCCTCTGGCCTGGCAACATCCTCCTTCATTAATTGCAAAAATCTTTAAATTTTTGTCTTAAAGTTGAAGGGGATGTTCTCTTTCTTTGACTCTGCTGGAAATTTTTGTCTTAAAGTTGAAGGGGATGTTCTCTTTCTTTGACTCTGCTGGATCTTTCATTTTATATTTTACGTTTAAACTCATGATTAACCTGACATTGTAATATATGGATTATTTTTGCTGGATTCTTGCTGGGAGCAATTCTGGTGCATTGACAGCTGTTGAATTTGTTGGTGTTTCTTCAGGATGGTAAGAAATCTTTAATATTAATTTTATGAAGCTGTGAATATGAATTCTTTCTAGTTTCATTATCAGAAAATATTATCAAGCTGAAAATTTTGAATTAATTCTTTACGCATAAAATTTCCAGGGTATAGATCGAAAGGATGTCAGGATTGTTTGTCATTTTAATATTCCTAAGTCAATGGAAGCCTTCTATCAAGAGTCAGGTAGAGCTGGTCGTGATCAATTGCCTTCTAGAAGTCTGTTGTACTGTGGAATGGATGACTGCAAAAAAATGGTTGGATCACAATTTCGGCACTGCGTCTGAATTTTCTCTTTTTTGCATGGTTATGCTAGAATTTTATGTAAACATTTATAATATCTATTGCAGCAATTTATTCTGGGTGCTTCTAAGAGCAAGAAGGAGCAGTCGTCAAGCTCACAGGATGGGTCCTCAAAGAAATCCCTTGCTGACTTCAATCAGGTAACTTTTCAACCCTTCTACAAAGCTAGCTTGAGCTCTCTTTTCCTATGATGTTTGATGGACCTTGGTGCACTATCCATGCAGATGGTTGAATACTGTCAAGAGTCTGGTTGCCGTAGGAAAAAAATTCTTGGGAGTTTTGGGGAACAGGTACTTGAATCTTGGTTATGTACAGTTCTCATGTACATTAGGATGATTAATGTTGTTATTTAACTTCCAGATGTAATTGCTTGTATTATATGTTATCTTTTAGTGTAGGTACCTGCATCACTCTGTAAAAAATCATGTGATGCATGCAAACATCCAAATTTAGTTGCCAAGTATTTGGAGGAGCTCAGAACTACTTGTGCCTTTCGCCACAAAAATCAATCCTCTCGAATATATATAAGCAGGTACTTGATTTTTTTAGTTATGTCAATATGCTATTATGTTGGTTCTGTGTTGGTAGTTGTTGCACAGCTTTCCCTCTATGGTGCATGAAACTTGTCGTTCTAGTTGAAGGAGTGAATGAACAAAGATAACACGTCAGAACAAAAGAATCAGAAAATCAGTACAGCTTTATGCTAAGGAAATTTGGATATGGAATATGTTTTCTTACATAGTTTAGTGATGGTAAGGTTGGGGAGACATAGAAAAGAAACTTTGGTTTCAGAAATGGTAATTTAGACTAGTTAGTTGATATGATCTAGGAAATAGAGGATACTACTACCCAACTCAACTCAACGAGTGTAATATCCCGTCCCATATGGTTAGGTAGGAAAAGTTCCTAGACTATACAAGTGAGTTCACATCCCTTCCTAGTGACTTAGGAAGCACAGATACGGATACGGAATACAGCGATACAGGGATATAGATACGGCGATACGCCAAAATTTGAAAAAATAAGATATGGGTACGGCGGGGATACATTTTTAATTTTTTATTTATTTATAATAATTTTAATAATGTAATATGCATGAAAATAAAACCTAAAGCAAATTAATAAATAAAGAGAGGGATTCATATTAAGCTAAGAGCTTCAAACATTCATAAAACATCCAAAACTAAAAGCAAAAGTAAATGCAAATGCAAATTAAACATCATCCTTACATGCTAACACCAAAAAAAGAACGAGAGTAGAGAGAAGAAACGTGAGAGAGCGAGGGAGCGAGAGAGAAGTGAGAGACAATAAGGATACATCAATTTGACAAATTCTATTACTTCAACTCTCACTATATTCCTTTTATCAAATAACTAACCAAAGTATTAGAAGTAATATGTGATTTTGAGTATCTGATACTTCAAAATTAAGTATCTGATATTCCAAAATTAATAAAAAATTAATTTAGAAGTAGCCGATACATATCCGCGAGTATCCAAGGAGTATCGGTATCCAATAAGTATCCGATACGGATACGTCGCCCTTTTTGAAGTATCTGTGCTTCATAGCTTGTGACGATGATGGTCTAGCCCGAAGCAAACAATATTTTTATTTCTTAGGATTAGGGCATTACAACAAATCTTTGTCTGGCCTTTCTTATCGCTTTAAACCATAATCTTCTTGGTCTTCCTCTATTTCTGCCTGTGGATCAAATCATTTCTCCTTATAGGCGCATTACTAGTAAAGTGTTATTAGGTTGGAGATGTAAGATTAATAGTTTTTGTTTGTGTACTGATATGGTGGTATTAGTTGGTTATGATTAAATCTATGAAATTATATAAAAGTCTTCATTATATAAAAGGTAATTCTAGGGGTGTGTGGCAAAGGCCATTTTTTAGCTTTTTGGGCTAAAATTCACAAAAGGACAAAATAGCCAATAAGACAAAATATCATATCAAACCCATAATCATGTCACTTTTTCTCTCACAAACATCACATCCAAGTACAAAAAAATCCAACTATCTTCCCAAACACAAAAATTTTAGCCTACTAAAATAGCAACTTCCCAAACACCTACTCTATTTGCACACCATACAAACTCTAAGTATACACCACAAATGATTTTCGGATATAAATTTCCAAAAAAAAATCAAATGTTAGGATATAAATTTATGAAACATGAAGTAGTTGTTCGGATATAAATAATTGAATGGAATGTATATTTGAACAATTTATTTTTGTTCGTAACTTTAAATATGAACATTTTGGGTATCTATATTATGCTTAGTTATCTATATTATGCTTGGCACATAGCGAGCCCTACAGGGATCACGTCATCACCTTCACACATCTACGTGGCAGACCCCTTGGTACCACGATGAGTTGGGGTTGTATGTCTAGCCTAAGCGGGGGCACGCACACCACCAAGTATGAAAACAGGGCCACAACTCACTTTGATAAAGCTAGCTCACCTAGAGCTCTCTACGACCCTTCATAATTTAAGACATATATTCTTTACCCATTCACCCCAGCTCCATAGCAACATAGCTGGACTCTTGTCTCACCTGTGTTTACTTAGCTGCTCAGGATGAGCCCTTGGCTCACCCATGCACTCACCCCTTGGGCTGCCTAGGTTGGGAACAGGACCTAGGCACTCCTGCTTGGGATCATTAGAGGATTGTGGATTGGACGCTAAGACCTTGGGATCATCAAGGTCGTGTAGTTGTCTCCTTGCAGTGATAGCTCCTCCTTTGACTTGGTTTAGAGAAAGGGATGTTGACCTTACACTTGCATCTGATGGACATATGATACGCCTCTCAAGATATCATACCTACACCTGTAGCTCCTATGATGCAACCTTCCCAAGGACCTGAATCATAGGACACAGCTAGGAGGGCTGATATCACCCTCCTGTCGAGTCGAGGAGAACTTGCCGCCTGTCTTGAGGTTGTTTGGGCTCTAATACTCCTGGAGTCTATATAACGGCATCATAAGTGAAGCCACAATCACACAACAAGAGCAACGAGAACCACATAACATACACTATGTGTTCAAGGTCTCACTGCCACCCCTTTCCTCTCTAAGCCTGTCTTGGTCTTCTCTTCCACCTCTGTTGATCTCAGGCCATTAAAGTGCCCACCATCTTCCCAAGGTCAACGACCGATCGCCTCTAATGTCACGACCCCAAACCGCCCCTAGTAGTTTGGTGTCGTGATGGCTAGTAATCTGAGATTACCCAAGGCCAACCATCAAAAGTTTAACACAATCAGAGTATAATAAACGGGGCTCACAAATGCGGAAGCAACAAATCAAGATACAAGTGGTCCATAAGAGCAGTGCGTAGATCAAATGAAATGGCATATATCTTTACAACTTGAATACAACAAAGCAAAATACGTATTACATCTTGATCAAAAGGCTTCTTCAGCCGACATATACAAAATGACAGTGAATACAAGCCAAGAAGCATGATTTTCAAGATTCGCCGACATGAAAGAAATGACATCGCCGACGTGAATACAAAACAAAGCCGACATAATCATGGATCCAAAACAAGCTTTCAAAAACACATCTAGGCGTCGCCGACGTCCTGCTCGTCACCTACATATATATAGAGAGGGTGAGCTTGGATACTCAGTGAATGGTACTAGTAATAAATGTTTTGCATGAATATAACTGAGATCTTTCAAAACAAAACATGCCAAAACCATACGAATCTTAGCCGAGATCTTTTCAAAGCAAAAACACATCAAAACTTTATCAAAACAAGGGATGAACCGTATTCATCTATCAAGGTCTTACAAGTCTCAAGGGATGCTTACTAACATCGGCAAAACACAAATCAAGCTTTTGATGAACCGTATTCATCTATTAAGTCTTACAAGTCTCAAGGGATGCTTACTAACATCGGCAAAACACAGATCAAGCTTTCCGAACAACAGATCCATGCGGTAAACCGTCAGTGGCAAAACAAAGGCTGTACGATCCGTAATCGATTAGTCAAAGGTACTGCGAAAGTTTATAGTCCTCCAGCACAAGGGACTTGTGTTACTTAAGCCCGTAGCTCTTTTTAACACGATGGTCTTGTGTTACTTAGGCCCGTAGCCCGCTTTAACACAAGAGTCTTTCCAAGAAAGGACCGTATCCTTTTATACTTAGTGCTGCGAAAGTTTAGAGTCCTCCAGCACAAGGGACTTTTATACTTGGTACTATGAAAGTTTAGAGTCCTCCAGTACAAGGGACTTTTCAAGAATAACATCAAAACAAGGCTTCTACTTGATACATCAAAACAGGGCTATTCATTCATGCTTAACAAATACTTTCGTCAAAACAAAGCAAAGCAAGATTTATCAAAACAGTATAACATAGTTTTATTAGAAATACCACTCACATAGGTTTCCTCGGGTGTAGGCTCAAAGCAAAGATCAAGGACCTACAATCACATGGCAATCGCATTCTCAAAACAAGCTTTATATACATGCAAATGATCTCGGCATTCTCACCAGATCCAAGTCAATGACAAAGCAAAACATGCTGGGAGTTTAAACACTGCTTCCGTCCCATGAAAACACACTGGGTACCAACCAGGTCTTTGCCGAGGTCCCACACTTCCTTGCCGAGGTGTGGTCCCGTTGGCCTCATTCAAAAGCAAAGTCGGGAAAACCTGGGTTTCCCTTTGAAGAACATGAAGAATATGATCATGAAAAAGATGAATGCAAAGATTATAACTTGTTACAAAAATCTGAGATTTCATGCCAAAAGTTCAAAACATGGACCTGGGTACCCATGCAAAGGTTATACAAGAACAAACACAAAAACATGGTTCTTGTTCCAAACTTTCGGATCAAAACGAGACTTTTCTTTAAAAACACATGAATACTATTTTTCTCTTCCAAAACCAACTTCAAAACGATGCATGACATGCAAAACAGATTTGATCATGCAATGCAGCTAGATGATCAATAAGAACAACAAGAGTAGGTTAAGATTCTAACCTCAAAACTCGAATCCAACGGTTCAAACCTCAAGGATCAAGCTTGGAAGATATATTCTCACTCAAGAACTTCTCCTCCTTCTCTCTAGAGCTTCTCTCTCTAAAGGCAAAGATTTGAGACAAAAAAAATGATTTGTTTCTAGGTCTGTCGGCTGTCTTAACAATCAGCTCGGACACGTGGCGTTACCGGGTTGGTTCAACTCAAAAGGTGATTGATTGATAAGACAAATCTATGACAAAGCGTACACAACAAGCTAAGGCAAGACACATCGGCAAGTAATGACATCGGCTAAAGTCAAAGCTTCGGCAACAGGATAACAAAGACATCGGCTAGGGAGGACGACACTTGACTAAGCTGTGCCACACCTTGGCCGGGGTGTGCCACACCTCGGTCTAGGCCATACCTGCCCAAGGACAAGGATCATTAAGTGCAAAACATCTCGGCAACAAGCCCAAGGTGAAGATGGAGGTCGACTAAGGGGTTCCAAGGCAGCTCTAGGTACAAAGGTTCAAAGGGGAACTAAGCTCAAGATGACCTC